AGATTTTCCTGAAGGAACTTGTTGAGCACCTCCTACTTGTCTCTGTTAAGTAGGTAGACCTTACAATCCTTAGGTTGGAAACCCTTAGTTAATTTAATTGTATAGTCCTAGAGACAGTGTTTAGGAAGCTAGTTGAATTCCTCTTTACTAAAGACTTTGAGGAACTCTCAGACAAAATCTGGCAGGCTGGGTCTATGTGTGTTCTAGAGTAGAGTCATTCTGAGAGGGTTCTAGACTGGTTCTGTCTCAGACATTCTTCAGATCAACTCTGTTCTGCCTTAACTAGAATATGTATCTATATATCTATCCTAGTCAAAAAAGAACAACTAGTCACCTTTATTAGAACTGTTAGTAACATTGAAAGTGTCCACATTCACTTAGAACAGTAGTGTAAGGTAGTTGTAAGACTTGGAACACTGATCAAACACAAGTGTCTACTCTAACTAGTCAATAGTAGGGTTGTGAGCCTTAAGCCATTTGAATCTAATAAAGATGTTTGTCTTTCTAAGGTTAGTAACTCTGAACTCAATACTTTCCTTATAATCCTAAATAGTCATCTGTAGTTGGACAAACTCAGTAATCTGACTATTCTAGTTCAGGGTTCTGTCTGTATTGTATACTAGGATTGGAAGTAGAATGTGTCAAGTAGGGAGGTAGTGTTCCTATACAAAGGCCTTATTAATACATAAACTAGTGTATCTACTATCTATCAGAGCTATTGTTTGGATCTGGGGGGATCCTGAGAAGGGAGCTAAGAGGACAGAAACCTAGAGCTAGTACTTAGAACATCCTCTAATGAACTGTTACTTGTTCTGAAGGGAATGTACAGCTTGTGTAGCCTTATTGTCTGAAAGGGTAAGTATATGTACTAACATTTCCTTATTAACCTCTCTCTTTCAACAAGGACAGACTCATGTCCTCAGCTGTGAACTCAACTGAGACCATTCTTACTTGATACTATAGACAAACTACTGAGTAGTAAACAAGGCTAGGTAGTATTCTGAATGTTCTAAGATCTTAGAATACAGAAGTAGTAGGTCAGATTGTACAGATTTAAACTTGGATAAAGTGTGAAGAGAAGAATCAAAAGAATCAGAAGAAATAGGAGAACTATCTACTTTTGTTTTCAACTTTCTTCTTTCTAATAAATAATTTTGTTAATTTATTTTTTCTACTTTTTCTACTTTTTCTACTTTTCTTACTTTATTTACTTCTAATCCTACAGTGTCTATTGAATCAAAAGTAGTTATTAAAAAATCCAAGTTATAGCCCTTCAGTACTACATTCACTGTTAGGCCTCTACAAAATCCTAGAGTACATAGTCAGAGTCTAAGAGTTCTGAGATGACTTCCAGATTTGTAAAAAAGGCTTCTTACTACAAATCCTGCTTGTTACTCATTATTACTCTAATGACCTAACAGATATACTATTACTTCTGTAGACAGTCCTTAATCTAGTGCCCTGACTTTCTGTAGGCAAAGTATGCTCCTTACTTTCAGGCTTCTTTAATGTCTATCAGAACAGATTGATTACAAATTACAGGCAGATTGATTCAAGGACTTGGAACTGTCAGAGCTGGACACATGTGTAAGCATTCTGTACAGACTTAATGTATCCAAGCTACAGCTTAGTTGAAGGAGATAGTGTGTGTCTTCTACTTAGTATAAGTGACCAGCTCTAGTGTTATCCTAAGAATCTTATTAATCAGTTCTGAGTAAAGAGCTTTTTTAAGTATTCTAATAAGGACATTATTAAACCTGAGTATGAATCCTGCCTTCTAGGCTAGGATATCAAACTCCTGAAAGAAGACATTGGTAGAATGTTTGCCCTGTCATAGAGACACAAGCTTGTTCTACACATTATACTTCTCCTTCAGATTAATAAAGGAAGTACAGAGTTACTTTATAAATTCTGAATACAACTCATTGTTCTGAAGTCAGATCAGGCTTCCAATCTAATAGCCTTCAATCCAGTTCTAGGCCTAGGTGACTGTATTACCTTCCTTCATGAAGGAGAGGACAAATAGGATACAATTAAGATCTAAGGATAGATCAGTCAAAATAGTAGCTATGTATAGTTTGACTTAGTACTAAAAGTCCTCAAAGTACTACCTATTAAAGTCTGAAGGGTAGGCTACATACACTTTCTTTCTAGAACAGGTTACAACTTCTAGAACAATTGGAACAGGTTCTGAAGGGACTGGGAGTACATAGTTAGTAAAAGCCTCTTAAATAGAGGTTTACACATATTAAGCTAGTTCTACTTGTAACTACTAATCTGGCAGGACAGTAGGGGTGGCAGTCAGTGTAGGAGGGTCCATGTTTACACTACAAAGGAATCAGTACTAAACTAAAAGGGGTAATGAATAGAAGAAGGGTGGCAAAAGTTTAAAAAGGTTTAGAAAGTTTAAAATTTAAAAATGTAAAAAGGTTAGGACAAAGAAAAGAGATCAACACAATGGCAAGTACTAATGCTCAAAACATAGGAGAGTTGTAGGGTGGTAATAGGTAGTCTTGATCTGATGTCAGTAATAGTATAGAGGGGACCTGAAGGCTTAGCAAGGGGACCCAGGCTACAACTATCCTACACAACAGAAATACAGAACACAAGTACTAGAACATAGTCAGAACTTGCAGAACAGGCAGAGAGGGAGAGTGAGACAAGAGTAGAGTATATAGAGTGAGCCTAAGAGTACAGGACTACCTAGAGTAGATAAGATCAAGACTACAGGACCAGTCTGATCTTATACACTTATATATACTAAACTACACAAGAGTACTCAGAGAGTATGAGCTACTAAGAATGATAAGCTACAAAGAATGAAAGAAAGGGATGTCAAAGATAAAGGTACAAAGAATGAAGGGATAGACAAAGGGTAAGAGATTATAAAATGAACAGAGAATGAAGGGGTGGTCAAAGGAATAGAATGATAAAGTAAGGAAGGGTAGTAGTAAGAGTCAGTACACATATAGTTTATAGACAGTGCCCCTAAGGGATGGAAGTCCTGAGTTCTGGTACAGAAGGGTGCAGAACCCTTAGAACTAAAGGTAAGAGAGTAGAGAACTGTAACAAAGGGTAAAAGACTATAGAATGAACAAAAAATAAAAGGGTGGTCAAAGGAATAGAATGATGAAGTAAGGAGAGGTAGTAGTAAGAGTCAGTATACATATAGTTCATAGACAGTACTCCTAAGGGATGAAAGTCCTAAGTTCTAGTATAGAAGGGTGTAGAACCCTTAGAACTAAAAGTACAAGAGTAGAGAACTGTAACACTAGGTTAGGTTCAGACCTGGACTAGACTGCTAGTCTAGTCTACAAGGGGTCTAGCTAGGTCTAGTTTAAGGTCTAGAATTTTACACAGGAGGCAGAATCCTATTTTGTAACTCTAGGAATTTATTACAAAAATTGAAAGCTACTACCTGATTAACTAGAAATATATCTTAAAACAAATTCTCTAGGCCTTAGAATAGGTTTCTGTCTCCTGTATTATAAGAAATTGGTTCTAGTCTGGTTTATCATAATAGTCTAGCAAAAACCTGCCTGGACTGGACCTGGACTGGACTGTAGCAACTATAGAATGTTGTAGTCAAATAGAATACAACTATTCTCTAACTGTATAAATGTAAGTTAAGATGTAGTGTTGTTACAAATATTAAAGCCTGAAGAGTTGGATGACAGGCACAGGTTCTGTGTACTATTAACAGCCAGGTCTGTTAGAAGCTTTGTGTTGTAAATTTGTTGTAAAGCACTTAACAAAAGGCTATAATGTTGACTAAGAAGCTTTAATATACCTAGTAAGAGACATTTGTAAATCTTTAAATAAGTATAGACAGTGTCTGTACTTGTATCTGTACTAGTAAATAGTATACTATCATCATTACTAGTAAATAGTATACTATCATCATTACTAGTAAATAGTATACTATCATCATTACTAGTAAATAGTATACTATCATCATTACTAGTAAATAGTATACTATCATCATTACTATGTATATTCTGTGAACTTATTAACAATAAAGTATAATATTTAAGTAACTAGTATAAAAAGTTTACTAACTTGACTAAAAATAGAATATATAGTATAAGTATTAATAAACTGTTGATAGTCACTGCATAACACTGTCCAAGGTCAGGCAGACAATGTCAGCAGTCGAGATATGTAAAGGACCAGCCTGAGATGACGCAGCACGTGCGCCGTGCGTACGTAACTCTTGCCGAACAAGGCCAATGCCGATCATTGAGTTTGGGCCGTTCACAATGCTTCCGTGCTGAACCTTATTTCAAAACCTGCATAAAAGGGCGCTAGGATGCGTCAAGATGACTCCCGGAGTATTAGGAAAATTTATTTAAGGGCTGGTTATAGTTCCTGCTTGTGGAAATTTCCGATGGAGATTAAACACCTTATGGTAGATTTAATTTTAGTCTAATTAGTTATGCTACTTGTGGTGGTCATCATTTCATCTCGATTCCCCGTCAGAGTAAGGAGCGGGCGGACGAAACTACTTGGCTACAACGTTATTGGAATACCTGTGCCGCACATGCTACTCGTGCCTTGGAGACGGCGCCTTGATTGCCGTTAGGGAGTTGCTTTTGTCAGAGAAGTGTTTGACACGGAGGTGAGGCGCCACCGGAATTTTTGCTCAGGGCTAGCCTGCATTTGTGGTAATCACCTGTGCATGAATATGAAGTCCGGAAGGCATTTTTGAATGAAAATTTCGCTAATATGAAGAGAGATTTGTACACTCGCCAGAGTGATAAGGCGAAAAGCTTATAATTTCTTAGTTCCAATCCCCGGACGTCCTTGTCGAAGACAATCTCGAGTTGATATTTTTCAGCCTTCTTGTCTGAAGGTGTTCAGAGTTATTCACCTCTATATATCACAAAATAGTCTAGCTATCTATCAAGAAGAAACCAATGGTAGTGGAATATCCAACATTTTATTATAGTTTCAAACGAGCATTTTGTACATGCTAGTACTACAATGACAACATAACCAACTTTGAGTTCCTACATTTCATTTTACCACCGCCGCTGACAAGTCGGAGTACGTGTTTCCATTATGCAGCGTAATCGACGCTATCCTACTTCACCGACCACCTCTCGCTCTAAATTAATCGCAATTCAGTTATCACGCGCCTCAAAGAAGGCACAGAATATTATACACACTCCCTAAACCCAAATAGAACCCGATGATCACCGTCCCATCATGGGCTGGTATCCATGAGGTCTTCCTTTGACTCTCGCTGTCGGCGCAGCCCTGTACTCATTCGAGACGAGGAGCGACGCCGCTGTCCCTGTACGGGGCCACTGAATGCTCCTCGGCCTTTCCCCGTACAGAATATTCCAAAGGATCGGCGCAATGGTGAGTGGGACGGAACGATAACGTGAGAAGAGTCGGAATCGGTGTCACTTTCATCTCCGGAGCTTGAGGTAGAGGACCCAGCGTTGTCCACGGGTATTTCATCGTGATCATTTTGGTGTGGTGGGTGGTCCGTGTCCTTAATCGATCCCTCTGGTATTCCACGAATTTTCAGGCTTGAGACAGGAATTTTGGGCGTCGAAGAGACCGATATCGGTTCTCCTAGACGTCGCTTAAAATGTACGGTGTCTTGAGAGGCCTTACGACTGAGAGACGCGGAAGAACGCTCTCTCTTTAAAGGCTGAGAAAGGGCACCATTCGATCGGTCAGATAGTTGTCGAGACGAAATATTCGCCGGTATGTTCCATGATTTTGATGATTCTGTAGAACGTTGAACCGGGGCAGGAGGCGCTACCAATGATACCGTTCAGAGGAATTCTTTTACAAACAAGCTAAAGGCGACAGGTTGCGTTTGAAATACTTACGCAGCATTACGTTTGGTGGTAAGTTGGGAGGTCCAGTCGGACGTACGTGTGGAGGTGCAGCATGTCCAGAGAAGGGAGTTGCTGCGGCCTTTGCCCCCGAAGGGAGCGGCGCGAGTCTTGTCTGTGGCGAATTCTCGTCAAGGTCGTTACCTGCTCCTTTGACACAAGAATTCTGTTTAGCATAGCCACCGGGTACTGCTTGGTCCGCCGCCTTTGTGCGGACCCTAAGCTGAGTAGACAGTGGAAATAGCAGGCGGTTGAGTCGTACTGGATCAGCGATAAGGATCAGCGTCAATCATTTATTATGTTTCTTGACTCGACATAAGGTTAATATTTAAATTGTCAAAGTCAAATTACCTTGGAGATCTTTTGATTCTAGCCGGGCGTTATGACTGTGTACTTGAAGCTGCAGTAATAGGCCGAAGTACGCGGCCTTATACGCAGACAAATAGTCTGGGCACGAGGAGAACGTATGCAAACTGATACCGTTGCTTTGCAGCGTGTTCTTCGCCACCTGAAACGACGTTGATGAGTTGTTTTCTCACGCCGCACCTGAAGCAATTTAGAGGCCGCTACTTAGAAGGAAACTCACCTCGACAAGTGAGATTAGCTATGCAAATAAGGAATTTATGTAATGACAGTTATGAGGTGGTCGGACGCGAATGACAGAGTGCAGTCAAACTAACCTCTTCAGGATTTGAAATGAGGTAGGAGGGTGAGGAGTGAAGAAGCTTAGCGCGGAGTTCCGCAATCGCTTCGAGGTAATCAGTGCAGGACGAGAGACGAGTGCGTAAGCCGCCGGAGCTCGAGGAACTGTACCGAGCCATGACGGGAGGAGTGGAACAACAGAGTAGGACTAGGGCACGGAACTAAATGCGGAAGGACGAGGAAACACTGTATGGACGATTATCTGGCGTTAGAAGCGGGCGGCGAATGGCAACGCAGAAGACGGAATATAATAAAGAAGGGCTGTGATGTGTCGCAAAGGAGGAATGGAGAGATCGGAATAAGATGGTATGATGATGGTTAAAAGCTAAGGGGAGCGACCCGGCTCTAAAGGCGCAGCGGATCTACAGGGCTAACGGGCTGTGCCGAGATTGTTGTTTGTGAAGAAAGGACTGGGATAGACCAAGCGAAGCATGACTGAGACCACTTCGTTTGCCACAAATGACTCTTCCTCCGAAATTCAAAAATAAATACCCGGCCCGCAACCAGTTTCAGCAACTGTCTACGGCCAACAGCCACATACTGTTTGACTCCAAACTGGATTGGGCATTTTGCCAGTTGAAACGGCCGTCAAAGTGTCGGCAACGGAAGTTGACGCGGGCTGGGGTGCAGATTTTCCCTCGAAGAATTTTTCTATATTTGGATTACATGGCAATTCCCACGAACTATTCTACATCCTCTTCTCGATCTTTCTTTGTCGACACTGATGATTGTCCACGATGAGAAGGGATAAGGTGCACAAAGCATGCGAGAGTGCGCGGCTTTTACGTCCGCAGAGTCGGTCATGTATTTGTACACGTATTCATTCGGCCCAAACTTACACATTTCCGCCGAAACGGCTCCTTAATAGCATCGGTCCACAGAATTGACCACCCCCACCCGTATCCGTCGCAGAATTGATTACGGATAGACCCCGTACCCTCCCCCAGAAGATAATTCTAGACCGTGACCCGGGGGGCGAGAAACCGATGTATCATGAATTGGTCTGATACAGTGATAGACTCCCGACAGATTCAGACGTATAACACAGTACTGCACTCTGTACCCCGAAATTGGGGAAGGGTTACTATTGTCAATGGATTATGTAGAAGGGTTGGGTGATAATCAAGTAATCTTTGAGTTATGGTGTACAAAACTAATTATACATGTCCCGCTCTGTCTTGCCTTTTGTCCATTGAGCCTGGAGAGGTTCGATTTCAAGGTCGCTATCCGAATCATTTTCGACCTTGGTAGTTAGGTCGGAAGCTCCGCTGATGACATCCTTTTTAAAAGTACCGTGTAGAACACTGGGACGGCAGGTCATTGGATCCAGAGCGTGATGATCATCAGTTCCAACTTCCAGCCTGGCAGTTGCCGAGTTGGCCGTTGTATTTGTCGCCAGAGTTTTCGTGAACGACGAAGGTGGTGCAGTTACTCCAGAACGTACTTTAGGTCCTGGAGGTGGTCCCAGCTGAATCTTACGGTCGTGACTTGCCAACTTGCCGAGCTGAGCCATCCATGAATTTAATATACAGTTAATTCAACAGAAAAAATGAGAATGCCATGCGCGACTCACTTTATTTATCGCATCCGATTTCTTCGCGCTCATTCTAGAACCAATCTGGCCATACGGCTTGGCCGTCGGATTGAAACCGAGGCGTTTGACCATCTCAGCGGAATATGTCTTTCGTTGAGGTCGCTCAACGTCATTTCCCTCCGTTGATGCAATATTATCCTTCCCCTTACTGTTTGTCTCCGACTCATCGAAGCCGGTTTTTCGGGCATTCGACATCATCATACGCGCTCTGTTCACCACAGCCAGTGCCTCCCTCGATGTATCGCCACTGTCACCTCTCGCACAATGGGTTTTACCATTGACAAGGAGCTCGGACAATGCTTTGTCCTCTCTCACTCCTGCCTTTCGGCGGGCACGGGCCTGCTCCTCACGCCCCATCACCTCGCCAACATTACTAATGGTCTGCGTTCTGCCGGACGATGCAACAAGTCCACCGACGACATATGTTGTCTCACCATCCACTCCGCGATTTGCGGCTTCGGGTTTCAGACCCCATTGCCGTTGTGGATCGTACGTTGCCTTGCGTTTATTAGCCGTCGTCGACATTCCAGACGTCCTACAAACACGCGTACTATCAGATCATCTCGAATTCCCGTGTAAGGACATGCACGTACCCAGCCGAGAACTCCGGTCGCCCTGACCTTGCGCGCTGCACCGCAGCCTGAATGTGATATTCACATACGTCTTCAGCATGCGTTGAGTTGGCCCCAACACGGTTGACGCGCCTGTCAACCCAGGCACCACAGGGTTTCCCATCTCGCCGTTGTACGGTACATTTGCCCAGGTCAGCAGCGTAGCCGACAACGGCGACAGCAGATGCAGAGGATGGTGTGAGAGCTAGGATAGAAGAAGTCGGCGAAGGATTCCTAGTATTCTGAATTGACCTAAATTTAGTTCGCAATGCTTTAGGGGAAAGGGGTTTGGGTCATACCGCGAAAGGCTTTAGGACCTTCGGATTGAGGAGAGCGATGACTGTGCCTTCCCTTAATCTCGGGAAGCACTCCTCAAAGGCACCGCCACTCCCTCCACGCCATAGTTTCCGTACAGACTCCTTTTTGCCATTCTTGTCTATTAGTTTGTCGTAATAGTCGGATTCGAACAATAGTAAGGATAACTGCGCATCGCCACGCAAAGTCCCCCTAGGTGAATCCGCGGAAGACGAGGACCGCGAACGATGGCCTAGATCAATGAGTTTGAGGTGGACATATTTCTTCCCTCGTCCCTTTGGGTTGTCGTCATCATCATCATCTTCCGCCCTTTTGCGTCTCCTATTACTTTCCGGGTTGTTCTTCTTCTCGGAATTGCCAGAATCTTCGTCCTCCGGACGCTTGCTGTAAGTCGAAGTCCCGGGTCCGCTAGTGATTTTGACATCGCCGCGGTCCGCGACAACAGCTATTGTTACCCAGTCGCCTTCGACCGGGACGTCATAGCCTTGTTTGTTTGGCTGGAGGCGAACAACAGAGTATAGTAGAGATGGTGGCAGAAAGTAACGCCCGGTCAGATGATCCTGGAGCGCAGCGTGCGGAAGTACCCTTTCTCTGACAACACAAATACGACATAGGTTCACGTAAGCATCAGGAACACTGAAGCTTTTCAAAATTGAAGGACGCACTTCAATCTTATTCCAGAATTGGGTTCTAATTTCTCGAAGTCTGGATCATCCGCAGCGGGTTTATGGTCGACTGGCCCTGGCACAAGGTCCTCTACTATAGCGAGTCTGTCATCCCGAACTGGTGCTGTAGTTGTCTCTGAATTCGTCGGTGCAAGGGCGGGCTTCTCTTCGAAGCCGTCCGTACGGGCCGCACGCTCATGACCTTCACCTTTATTGGAGTTGATTGACTTAAGCTGCGAGATAAAAGTTGCAGGCGTTGAGCTATTCGCCCGCTCATCTTGCTTCAAGGCAACACGTGAGGTGGTCGATTGTCCTTGTGCGACGTTTGGGCATTTCGACTGTTGCGTTCGTTGCACCTTTCGAGACAGATCCGTGGGTTTCTGAACGGCATCGTGAGTAGTATTTTTCTTTCCTACAACTTACGGTCATGGCACAAGATTCAATAAGTAGCAAAGCACATACGAGATGGCGTTGAAGGTGCAAGTACTGTGACTGGGTCGGTCCTCCGTTTCTTTGCTGGTGGGGAATCTGGGGCCTCGGCAAGTTTAGCTTGGAGAGCGGCTATCTGACGCTTAATTTCATCTTTGCCTGACATTAGAGGCTGCTTGTAAGATGGAGAGGAGATGGATTTGTCCTGTCCTAATGATGAAAAGTCGCGTCACGTTCTGAACCCGCGTTATTTACGACTATGTACGCGTACCTTATGTAATACACTTTCGGCAGCACGACAAATTTGGCCCTAAAAATTTGGACGGGCCAAATGGGTTTAGACGGATGTAATTTACCGTTATTTTCCTATTTATGACATCATTGGCCCTCCAGCAACTTCGAGATCTACTTCCTAATAAAAGAGGATAAGAACACACACTGTATGTCAAAGGATAAGTAATGGAAAGGCTTGAAAGCTAAATTGTTCCATGATGATGTAAACAGATATGTCATGAAGAGCGAAGTTCATAATAATAGACGGCACATAGATCAGTCGTCGAAATTTCTGGCCATACGCCAAGGATAGTAGTAAACAAAGCGACTACATGGACATGGGTTTATCTGTGCATATTGCTGGGTGCCAACAAAATAAGTATAATAAGCCTTTGTCTTTCGCCTATGTATTCCCAAACCAAACAAAGGCACTGAAGGTCAGTTGTGACTGTTATTGACCTGCCTTGTAAGGCGTTGAAGTAGTCGCACGCATGAACCCTTGACGACCAGAATTTTCTTTGCAAGATAAATAGACGGGATGTTGTTTGATTGCTCGGATGGGCGGACGTTGCCAGTTGCATGCCTTTGTGAAAGTTCGTTTGAACGAGAATATATTACTGGAGTGGGGAGGGTTGATACAAATTCATGCGAGACAGAGTAGGCTAATGATACAGTTATCAGAGTTATAGCTAGTTAAAAGCATTGTGACGATACGAATGTGGTTTGCAACTGGTAGGCTTTCAAAAACGTGAACGAACAAGTGAGGGCAGGTGCAGCACGGAGTATCTGTACAAAGTAGCGAACGTTATTAAAACATCTCTTACTTCCAAAGTCGTGGACATACCATGCATTCTTTCGAATCACAAGTTCCCAAACATCGCTACCTTTATAGGATGGCTCAAGGCCTCGAAACGTTGTATCGCCACAGAACAAATCAACCCCCCTCACGCCATTGTAGTAGTCGTACTGAGGGCGGGAGGATGCTTCGAGTCGCCTATAGAACGCAGCCGCCACATCGCGCCGTTCGTCCTTGGACAGGGCCCACCATTCGTACTGTGCGATGGGCTGACGAAGCTTGCAGTATACAGCCCAGAGTACTTGGCCAACGGTGACGTAGGCACCGCTGGTAACATCGACCGAAAGCTCAATTCCGGGAATTGGCCGTATAATGATGCGCATGTATCGCGAAGGGTGGCGTGTAGCGGGCTCGCACAAATCTGCCATGTCGCCGTTATACGTCGCAATGTACGTGTGCCGCGGGTCGCTCCGCAGATCGTAAACCAGGCCAACGGCCCGTCTGGCGTACCAGCGCGAGCGGATGCTAAGAGAGTCTGATAGAGTGTCGTGTGGTCTCATTCGGGGTAACCGCACAGTAAAAGAGTTCGGAGTAGTTACTTCTTTGAGAACACGTAACCAGTCGACTCGTCTCCTTCTTATACTCCCAGCGTCGGCCACATTGGCATTCAAGAGGGGTGCCGGCGGTGTCTTCCAGCGTTTATACGCCTGCATGAGTTCGAATCAGAGTTCCACCTGCCATATCTCGAAATAGGTAATACAAGCCAAGTTAGGAGGGGGATAGGGTCGCCGGCGCCGCCATTCATTAAAATAAACAAGCTCAGAGCCAACCCGTACGTACACGGAGTTGCCTCTGTCGCTGAGGCGCATATTTATTCAAGCAATTTGCTGCGCTATTTGACCTTGAGAGCCGCAGGACAGATATTCCCGACTCGGCAAAATGCCAATCTGAAATAATACAGATTAGTCAACCGCTTGAACACAAGGCAATGCGTAGTCAACACGAGCTAAAAAGGAAAGAGTTGGAAGAAGAAGGTAATGCGCTTTGCATGGGCAGGTGGCTGCGCGTTACGCGTTCAAGCGCAGGCACCTTTTGTCAAGACGGCTGTGCAGCGTCTATTTGCACTTTCGAGTGGAGTGGCAGTGAAGAGTAATGACTGAGCTACACGGATCGGGCATTCACCCGAAATCTCCTGAATGGGGACGAAGGTGTAAGTGTCATGGATTCAGCCCCGTGTTCTATGAAAAGATAGCCTACGCGTTCTGTGAGGGTCCGTGGTGATGAATCGTTGTTCCTTCAAACGAGTCATCTCGAAAGTTCGCCGCACAGGAGGCATAAGTTTCAATATGTCTGGAATGCCGTACTAGAGTTGAGATCGTCATCGAGTTTACTATCTTAGAGGGCCCGAGAAGGTCAAGTCCAGTTATTCTCGTTTTCCTTGATGATCTTGGATATGGCTGTGTCGACCCGACCTTCATGTGGCAGTTTAAGTAAGTCCAAGGCATCGCGGATGCCCAATCATGAATTGCACCAGTTCATTCGTCGGAAAATTGAACTCAAAGAAGGAGCAATTTGCACAGAGTCAGAGTACCAATTCGAGCTCAAAAAATATTCTTCCTCTCCAATTTTACAAAATTGGTAGTTAAAAATAGCTTACGTCACCTTCAAATTGAGTCACTGAATAGAGATCACGTGCTAACCATCTTCTCGTACCCTTCACCATCGACAAGTCGAGCTCTACAAGACCCTCCTCATATTACGTCTCCCATCCGACCATAGCGCCTCTGAACAAAATGTCAGAAACGATTCAAAAGCCACATGATGACTCTGAGTCTGAATCGGAGGAAGAAGAGGAGATTCAGACCGTCCATATCGATCCGACAAAACTGACGCCCTTGTCGCCTGAGGTCATTTCTAAGCAGGTGTGTCCACAGACCTTGTCGTTATGTATTGATATATGCTCAAATACATGTATTCGTCTAATAGGCTACGATTAACCTAGGTCAATGGGCCTACTTCAAGCTCTCGCATGAACGCATATGCTCATTGAATTAAATTGAACATCTAGGCACTATCGGGCATGTTGCCCACGGGAAGTCTACTGTAGTGAAGGCTATCTCGGGGGTGATGACTGTTCGATTCAAAAATGAGCTTGTGCGGAATATCACGATCAAGCTTGGGTACGCAAACGCGAAAGTACACCTCTTTCTCCATCGATGTCTGGTCAACTTTTCAAATTTTCTAATCCGTTCCATTTATAGATCTACAAATGCGAAAACGAAGCCTGTCCGCGACCGGGTTGTTACAAATCCTACTCTTCCAATAAAGAAGATAACCCACCCTGCGAACGGCCAGGATGTGGTCACCGAATGAAACTTCTACGCCACGTCTCCTTCGTCGACTGTCCCGGACACGACATTCTCATGGCTACAATGCTAAACGGTGCAGCAGTCATGGACGCTGCACTCCTCCTAATAGCCGGTAATGAAACCTGTCCACAACCCCAAACGTCAGAACATCTCGCAGCCGTAGAGATCATGAAACTCCAAAACATCATAATCCTACAAAACAAAGTCGACCTTATCAAGGAAGCGACTGCTTTGGAGCACCAAAAAAGTATAGCAGCGTTTGTAAAAGGTTCGTTGGCATCACACCGACATGCTATGAGAGTTAATGTTTTTATCTCAATGGATATTTGTCTGGTCCGTTAGGCACCGTAGCAGAATCCTCACCCATCGTCCCCATCTCCGCTCAACTCAAATACAACATCGACGCCGTAAACGAATACATCGTCAAACGTATCCCTATCCCCGTCCGTGACTTCACCACCACCCCAAAACTAATCGTCATCCGTTCATTCGACGTCAACAGACCCGGCGCAGAAGTCGACGAGCTCAAAGGTGGTGTAGCAGGCGGCTCAATCCTAACAGGTGTCCTCACGCTCGGCATGCGCGTGGAAATTCGTCCAGGGATCGTTACGAAAGACGCACAAGGCAGGAGTCGATGCAAGCCGATTTTCAGTCGAATCGTATCGCTGCATGCGGAGAATAATCAACTTCAATTCGCTGTACCCGGTGGGCTTATTGGTGTCGGTACGATGATTGACCCGACGCTTTGTCGTGCGGATAGGCTTGTGGGTCAAGTACTCGGCGCACCTGGAAAACTTCCGCAGATCTTCACTGGTACGTCACCCCTCTTAATTCTACATTCTGAATTTCCAATATCAAGTGCTAACGATGGCTGTTGAAATAAAAAGAACTGGAGATCAGCCTCTTCCTCCTCCGCCGTCTCCTAGGTGTCAAGTCCGAAGACAAAAAGACTACCAAAGTAACAAAGCTCGTGAAAAACGAGTTACTACTCATCAACATCGGCTCAACGTCAACTGGCGGGCGCGTCGTCAGCGTCAAAGCAGACCTCGCAAAAATTCAGCTTACTGCACCCGCTTGTACAGAAGTCGGTGAGAAAGTTGCATTATCACGTCGCATTGAGAAGCATTGGCGACTAGTTGGCTGGGGTAGTGTTCAGAGAGGAACGGTGCTTGAAGTGGATTAGCCAGATGAGAGGTGTTTCATGTGATTGTGTAGGAATTTGGAGGTAGCAGAATGTTTGTTATAGCAACTGTATTGTTGTTAATTGATTGGATGAAGTGGTACTCGGCGTTAACCTCGACGGCCCGATGTCTCAAAAAATCAACAATTTTATTTGCGAACTGACAAGACTATCAAGGAAATATGTTAAGAAACTATTATGTACTTCAACATCGTTCAAGGGATCAAACGCCTTTTTTTCTGATTAAAGATTCTTCGAAAATAATAAAGGTCAACTTAGGTTGAAATAGATGTCAGTTTTGGAGGGACGCCAACTAGGAGACACTAGAAAAAAAATTTAAGCTTCAGAGAGAGCAGGGGCGTTGTCAATTTCTACGCCATTCTCTTTTCTCATATCTTCATCGGCAGCAGGAGGTGGCGGGGTGCGAGCTCTGTCAGACCTGTCCTCCCTACTGTAGCTCCTCTTCCTGTCACGGCTGTCGCTGCGATGTCTCTCCTTGTGGTCTTCTCTGTCATCGTCGCGATCATCGCGGTCATCGCGGTCATCGCGGTCGTCGCGGTCCCTACGGTCCCGACTGCGACTCCTGCTCCGGCCGCGACGATCGTCCTTATCGTAATCACGGTCCCTGCGGGGACTGCGAGAACGATACCGGCCATAACGACCACCACTGCGACGCGGGGAACGAGCACCGCTGCGCCACATAGAGGATGGAAGCCTTTTAGCCCACTGCGCAAAAGTCAGCCATACGGTCCATTTTAGCCACAGCTGTACTAACCTCAACAGTCAAGCGGGAGCCTTCAAAATATCTTCCATGCCTGTACATTGGGAAATTTCATCAACCATTTACTTTTGCGCAAACTAAATTGGTTTACTGACATATCATCAAAAGCCGTTGCAGCATCCCTGGAACTGCGGAATTCCACGAACGCATAACTAATGATCGATCGAAGGGAGTTTCGTTGAGTGCGAAGTTCGTATTCGGGGTAAAGCGGGAAGCGTAGTAGGTGAAGTTCTCGAAAAGACACGCGCGCGGAAAAAAAGGTACTAGTTCGTATCGTATGGAAACGAGGTCCGAAGCAAACTCGCCCTCGACTCGCGCACGACATATGTCGAATTTGCATCGCTCGCTTAAGCGGCGTTATAGGTGCTAGTACTGAACCCGGATCGCGGGACGACGAAGCCGCCAAACGCAGGTAATGGGCGAAAAAAAGCGAGCCATGACGATATTTTCGTTTTGCGACTGCAGAGGACTAGAAGCGAAGAGCGTCGAAAAGCAATACTCACGGGCTTGCACTGGAGCTGTGGCCGCGAAGAGCGGGAATGTCACAACGAACGAGAGGACCAAACCTTTGCAGGAAAAAAAAAAGTGCATAAGTACGTGTTTTTTTACTACCTTTTCGACAAGAAACAGAAAGTGACTCACCGTTCAAACTCATAAGCCAGATCACGAGCGCGAGTAGAGGGGTGGAAACCGCGAACGTAGAGGATGGTGCGAGGCATGGTGGATGGTGGCAGAGTGTGCGTGAGGTCAACACCTGCGCGACGTGTGCCTCTTGTCTTGTGAAAACTCTGATGTAATCAACGAATCACGCGACTCGCTTATTGTTAAGCGCGTCTCGTCAATCTTGCACAGCAACCACTTACTTACAATTCAGCTGCTTTTATTTATCTGCAGTTTGGGCAAGCTTCTTTTAATCAGTATGCAAATTATCAAACTGACTCGGTCAACTCCAGGTGTTTAAGGCACAGATGGCATGCTAAATCGCCTGTCTGCAAACTTACTTCGGACATGGACCCGTTCCTCTTACCGACGCGTCTCCGTCGCCAATGACTCGAAACTTGTGCACACAAAGACATTTGCGACCGAAGCTCCATCTGAAGATGACAACGTTTCCCTAGCAAATATCGTCCAAAGGAAACTTAAAACCGTCAGATCGTCCCTAAGTATCAGCGACCCACTCAAGGTTCCTTCAATACAGGAGCTCGAAAAATGGAAAGATGCAATAAAAGTTGGCAATCTCGACGCGGCTATGAAGACATGCGGAGAACGTCTTCTTACAGCGCCAGTTTGGGTGCTACTATACCTCCTGTCCAGCAAGGTCCATACACCTACTCAAGCAGTGTCAGCTGTGAACATTATGTTGCATCACTTTTCCAATGTTGATAAGGCCCTTCAGCCTGCCCTTCTCATCCTCGCTATCCGATTTCTCGCTAGGCAGCAAGTCGAGATACCCGTCCCGAACTTGATAAAGCTCTTCCTCATTCTTGATATTCCCGATCCTCCCACGCAGTTCAATCTACTTCTTCGGTGTATGTCACACTTCAAACCATCTCCCGTACTTGCCAAGGCTACCACGCAAGTACTCGACGCAATGCACGGTCGGCAGATCAAATTACACTCGCGAACGTATCGGACTCTGCTTTCGAACAACTTAGTATCACTCGAATTGGCAAAGAAGCTCCAGCAGAGGATGGAACTAGATGGTACGAAGCCGAACCGCCATCATCTCGAAGCCTACCTCCGTGTTTTCGCTCATCACGGTGCAGTACATGGCGCAGCACGATATCTCAACTTAATCAGGGAGCATGCACAGGACAAAGCCGAGTTGGTACCCTACGGCGTAGAATTATCTTCTCAAGGCGCAAAAGCAGTAAAGTCACCCAATAGTGTCAACACGCGTTGGAACACGAAGTTCTTAGCGTCCTTCAAAAGGGACTCCAGCACTGCCTTTCAATATCTTCGCGAGATGGTGGACGATAAGGATGTAGCTCCCATCCTTCTACGGTCAGTCCGGAAAGAGAGTCGTATCGGCCCTACAAATAGGAAGAACAGGCCACTCGTCTGGAAACACAAAACACACGTATCAGACTGGGCGACGGTCCTCAACGTCGCAGCGCGCGATACGAGGATCAGCAGTGATCGACTTCTCCGATTATTTGACGAGACGAGAGCAGCCGCCGGATACCCTCCCACAGTCGCCATATTCACCGTCCTCATTCGCGGGCTTGCAAGGAAGGGAGACTATGCTACTGCTCTGGAAGTATGGGAACGATGTTGTGCATCATGGTCCCGCAGACGAAAGATAGACACAAAAGCCCTCACCGTAGCGATGGAAGCCATCGTCGGTGCCGGATACCCATTAGTCGCTTTCGACACTCTCGTCGAGACGACAGGTGTTTTACACGACTGGGACAACCCTCCGCCGAAACTCAGCAACTCAGCAATAGGCCGTCGATACAAACGCGCTTTGTGGTCTAAATACGCTAAAGTCGACGTACCGCTGGTAAATGCGCTCATGAACGCGTACCAGAAGAACGGCCGCCCGGATTTGGTATTCAAACTTTGGGACGTGTTTCATCCCCTATTTGGCGTACACCCGAACGCGAACACGTTGACTATCGTGTTGGACGCTGCGTATTCTGTTGCGCGGTGGGATCACACATTCCGCGGGCTACTTGAACATCTTGGTCTACATGATTTATTTAAATCCACTTCGCGATCTCCGGTTCCTGTAGCCGAAAAGGACAGAAATCTAATTGTACAGCACCTACGCGCCATCATCCAACGAGGCTCCTCTCCCGCTAAACGAAGAGAAGGAGACAGAGACGGAACCAAACCAGACTCGAAAGAAGTTGCTCAAGAAGCCCAGTCTTACATGCGCAAAACACTCTGGAATGGCGAGCTCGCAGCACCGAAAGCAATTAAACTATTCCAAGAGATTGTTCTGGGTAATTTCCCCGAGCTAAGGGACGTCGTCGCTCCTGCCAGAGCAATTTGGCCTGATGAAGCGGGGAGTGCGAGTCCGATGCGTGATGCATTGAGTTCCTTGGGTTCGCGATTACGCGGGACAAGTCATACTCATCCTAGTCCCAATCCTAGTTCTACTTCTTCAGCGGAACAGAAACCACTTCTCATGGGCCCGAGTCTCCTCCTGAACCGCTCCCATTCACCTCCCTCAAGTCCCTCTTCCACTTCCTTCCCTTCGCCCTCCCCTCACCCACAAATAACCCCAACCAAACAAACCTTCACCTCCTACCTCAACCTCCTCTTCATCACCCACCGCCCCTCCCAAATCGCACTAACCCTCGCCTGGATGCACGCTCTCCATATCACTCCCTCTCGCCGTCCACTCGCAATCGCTATCGCACTCTGGTCGGAAGCAAGCATGCGTGGACCGCTAATCGATCAATTACATAGTTCTTATGGTTTTGGTGGGGAGAGTGAGTTTAGTAAGTTGATGAAGTGGCTTGAGGGATGGCTTGGTAGGGAGGGGATGCCGAGTGATGCGGCGGTTTCGTGGGCTTTTAGGAAGTTGAAGGTGGAGAGGGAGAAGTGGTGAGGAGGGAAAGGGAGGGGAGGATAAAACAGATGTCCTATTTTTAACTTCGTTTTGGTTTTTTTTTTTGTGCCTTGGCTTTAGAAGATGCGTTTGTTGGATTTTCGCTTTATGACCGTCTAACATTCGCAAGCACATTCATTTGTAATAATACATGCGTAGTATTAAAACATCGGCATTAGAAAGAAAAGAGAGCGAGTAATTAAAATTAACGAAGTCTCATTGTCTACGATTCTACAAAACGTATAATTCAAATTCATTCTTCAAAATCAAACACGTTTTCCAGCTTTCTGAGCAGCTTTCTTCGCTTCTATTTCTGCTGCTTTCGCTGATAGGACACAGGCAAGTCGTGTAAAGTCAGAACCCGAGAAGAAAGAAATAGAAATTACGAAAGTGCTAACCTTCTTGCTCCGCTTTGCGTTTTGCAAGTGCTTCTTCACGTTCTTTACGAATCTTCGCGAGGCGTGCAAGGTCCTTCTGTGCTTGATCGGTCTTACCTTGTTGATGGAGCTATTTTGTGTTGAGGCAGTGCCAAAATGTCAATAAGTGAATGAGAGGTGAGGATCCGGCCTGGACGAACCTTCCAATACCTTTCTTGTGCTTCTTTCTTCTCTTTTGCTTCCCTACGTTCATAAGTCAGTATATCAAAGTCATATGAAAGAAGTCATATGAAACGAAAGAATGGAATAACGGAGTAATGCAGTGAAACATGTAATAAAACGCACCTCTCCCGACGAGACATCTCCCGTGGCGCGGCGGGGTCCGAGATATTCAACTTGGTTTTGACGTGATTCGGGTTGATCAAGTCGGCATCTTCGTCCTCTCCATCTCCTTGTTGCCCCTGTTGTTTCGCTTTCTTCTTGAGTTCTCGACGCTCGGCGCGTGTTAATTCGGGTTTATCTTCCGTTTGTACGTTCGAACTACCACCTACGCCGGCCCGAGCTCTGTCGAGTTCGTCGACGTCATTTTCGTTTTCGTCATCTTCGTCGATAGAATCGTCCGAATCGTCCGAGTCGTCGTCGTCTTCTTCTTCGTCTGAGTCGTCGTCTTCAGAGGCATCCTCCTTCTTTTGCTTCCTCCTACATACAAGGAAAAAGAAATAGATGTTAGCATACTGTAACTGAAGAGATGATTTGCTCCAATTATGTGGCTGAGGCGTAACACGTACCTGCGCTCTGTACCTACAGCGATACCGTTCTCGTCCAACGCCAAGTTTCGACTACAATTTACCAGTTATCAGATTTAATCATCACGATATTAGTTACTGGTAAGAGGCGCACCTGAAGCTACGTCCGCCGCCACGCTTCGTCTTGAATTTGCCTGAGGTATAATGTCGTAAATACGCATACAGACACTTGGTATGACAGGTAAAGGAAAGCTCACCAGAGCCACGAACCATACTATCACTTTATAGCAGAAAGCGTTCAGAAGAGATAAGCTTTTATTGCTTGTCGCGAATTTCTCTCGCCTGCAGTTGCTAGTTGGTGAACAAAGCCAAGAGCAAATTTATGGAAGATGGTTGGTGGAGGACGTGAGGCAACGGTTAATTGATCCCCATATCGTTTACGTAATTATAATGATTTAACAACCCCAACTTTCCCCAATTGGCACTCGTAGACTGCATTAAGTCAGTAACCCCGTCAGTCGATTGCGCAATTGGTGGAAGGTTTCACCATTTCTTCCTACCATTATCCCAACGGTGTCGAGCTCGCGATGTATCAGGACGACGACTACAAACTCAATTGCTAGACTTATCTGGCCTGTAGAGCCGAGAAAGTGAGGAAGAAAGTTATCAGAGAAGCAACTATGACGAGTCGATGGCCATCCCAGCGCGTCTGCGCTAGTGTGGCACATCTGGAGCAATTCACAAGTTGCTGGACAGCACGTCCTGCAATTCTACTGTGTTACATATCGTTCTGTACGTAATATTTGATCATTGAGGAACCGTGCTTTTTAGCTAATAGAAGATGCTATAAATACATAGGATAAGGGATCGCAGATGAAGTACTACTCAACTAAAACGATCAAATAAAGCGAAATCCAGCTAGAATGAAGTATACATATGCTCTCCGCATAATGAGTTTAGCAGTCCATCCGCTCATTTGATAAGTAGTGATATTCAAGAAAGGTGATTGTAATATGTACTCATTCCATAAGAACCAGAATTTCCGAAGCACGCAAATATAGTCATACCGAAAAACACGGGACCAACAATCGAAACGACCTTAAAGTGGCTCTCGGAGTCTCACTACCTCAGATGCAATATTCTCACCTCGCACTTATCTGCTTCTGTATAAAACTCTGATACACAATCGTTTGGTTCCCTCCCGCATGCGCCCTCCCTCAACCAGTAGAAGCTATTGTAGTGCTAGGACAGACAATCGCGCTGCTCAGTATCACATCGCCTACTTGTCCGTATCTGAACCTCTTCAGGTGCTTCCTTTCGCTAAACGGAAGCAGGTAATCACTAGACTACAGAGAATACTTGTGTATGTCCCTCAATGCCCCAAAGTCCTGACCAGGAGATTGTCAACACGTTCGATTTCCCGCAAGGATCAGTGGGCGAGCACACGTCCTCGCCCTCTCCACAGCCCTCTCTTTATACTTTAACCGATTCAATTAGGGAGCAAAGTGTCCATTGGGAGTATGGTCTCCCAGTAAGTTCTCTCTCTGAAATATACAAATTTCCAGTGAACGAGGAAGAACACCGGCGGCAAGGTAAGTAATTCCTCTTGTGTTAGGAGATTTAGTCAGCTAAGGGCCCAAAAGATAAAGGGCATAATCTTTTCAAAATTCTCGCTGGTGAATATGTGCCACCGTTATATGAGGTGCTTGCGGATGACCATGATCCTCTCAATCCGAAAACATGCCTTGATCTAGGCTGCGGCACGGGTACTTGGTCAGTTTCGGACGTTTCCTTTTTTTGTTTCAAAGTCTACCATTGCAATGCTGATTTATCGTTGCCACAGGATACTTGAAGTTGCATCCGCATTTCCTCACGTTTATTGTACAGCTGTCGATCTAGTTCCTCTTCCAGCAAGGTGAAAATTCCTTTTAAATCTGTAATGTTATCTCTTCTAATGCTTCACGGGCAATCGAAGGACTCCAATTCCGTCCAATTTTCGATTTGAAATTGATGATATTAGTCTTGGGCTAGAGCATTTTGCAGGCCAATTTGACGTCGTACACGTGCGAATGCTATCCTCTGGTGTCAGGGACTATTACCGCTTAATTGACGATACGGCTCTCGCTCTTCGATCACGCGGGCTTGCGGAATTCTGTGAGTGGGATTGGCGTTTTTTCGACATTGAGAAGCGAGCACTCGTTCCCACCATGGCCGAGATATGGGGTTCTATAGTTCAACCCGAAGGCTGGAATCGTCTAGGCACGGCTCGTTCGGCACGCACCCGTAGTGCTACTATGACTTCCAACCCAATGCCATTCTCCGTGCGCTTCACTACACTGGTCCTTCAGGCAGCAAACAAGCGAGGTTCTCATCGTGACGCAGGTCCATTGTTGCACCTTTGGATATCCGAACATCCCTCATTTGAAGACATTGTGTACCGTGAAATCTGGATCCCTTTTGGTAATTGGATGTACAATGAAGATCTGCTGAGGCATCCTTCATTCAGAGACTTGTCTGCAGATGACCTTGAGACGCTTCGCCAGGCTGGCAAGGTTATGGCCGAAGGTTTTCCTGTAGGTGGCTTCCGCTAGCACTACTTGTCATCGTTGACGTTTTCCCTCCAGTCATACACGGCTGCTTTGCGTCCCCTGCTGCTTGGCACAGGTATACCAGAAGAACTCGTCAGTTCACTTGCAGATCAAGCCATCCAGGAAATCTGCGGGACATGGACCCCACTATTTGTACGTGTACATAACGTGTATGCACGGAAAAGGGAATGAAGGCGAAAGTTCTTGACTACCATATCTTCTTCGTGGCTGAGTTAAATTCTCAGTGGGTCTTAAGTTTCGTCCAGTGTTTGCTTCAATCAATGGAGGATATACTTCTTTCATTCCTTGATAGTGTCTCATTATTTTGTCCTACCAGTGTTATTACAGTGATTATGTGTAGTACATTATAGTAAATACATTTTTTAATAGTTAATAATCAGGTTGACTAATTGTTGTTCAGTTAATGATCTTGAGAGGTTGATAGTACTAACGTTTGGTTGCTACTGTCAAAGTCGGAGGGTAGTTTTTTTATAGCTAACTAGGTTCTGGTGACGTTCAGTACATTACACGATTTTACAGAGTACATGTCCCCCGGAAGTTGAAGCCCAAGTTTGTTAGTTAATTATTATTCCATTTATGTGATCTTGAATCTTGATGAGGTAGCAACCTTAACGACTATAAGCAGCGGTTACTTCCATATTAGGCGATTGTTAGGTTACTCAGTTAGGCAACTGAACGGACGTTCACGATTTATCAACCGACGTCGAGCTCGTCGTGCAGCAGGCCGACGACTGCAAAAGCCAATCTCTAGACTTATTTAATCTCTCGCAGACGTGTAGAAGAGAGAAAGGCAGTGCGAGAGAGGCGACGATGACGACCATCCCAGCCCGCCTGGCGCAGATGACGCGCACCTCTGGCAACTCACAAGTCGCTAGACAGCGTGTCTTGGAATTATATCGTGATTGGTATCGTTCTGTACGTCCTTCTTCCCTCTCTCTCTACTCGTATAATTCGCTCATAATTATACTCAGGCACCAGAAATCGTCGAAAGCTTCACCCTAAACACAACACCGAACGAAGTTCGACGTATCATCCGCGCCGAGTTCGAGCGAAACCGCTACGTGACGGACCCAAAGGCCATTGACGTGTTGGTTCAGAAGGGAAGGCAGACGTATCAGGAGACGATGAACTGTTGGGCACAGGACTCGCATGTTCTTGGTATCTTCCTTGCGCCGAAGGATAGGCCGCAGAGGACGTTCATGCAGAAGTTCCTTGAGGGTATGTCGTTATTTTTTTGGCCCTTCTTTCCTTTTGTTTTCTATTTGCTTATTTCTTTGACTGATTTAAATTGATTGGTATTTGGTGTTTAGGGAGAGACGAAGATCAGGTATTGCCAGCTGCATCTGGATCTTTACAAAAGGATTACATTCCTTGACCTTGAATCTCGCTATGTATAAACCCAACATAATAATACCAGCTGCATCGAGTTCTCGACAAGGGGATTATATTCCCTGAGTTTTGCTGTGTATAAATCCACACACAATAGAAACACACATATCGTCTCTTGATTCTCTTCGGCGCTTGCACTGGCTGGCCAGTTAATTAGTTAGCTAGCTCGACAGACCTTATTATCCATCATACGTCGAGACAAATTTCGCAAGCGCCTAACGGTCGATTGTACGACGTTCGCCGCAGTTGTGTGTTGAATTTGTTCCGAGGACACCGCGACCTCACAGGCACACACAGGTTTATTTTGTGTTTTGTGATGAGGCATTGAGGCTGTGCACACAGCAGGTACACTTAGTCTAGCCGACTGGCCTTGAGGCCCGAGTCGGTTCACGGTAGATCAACGCATCTTTCTCTGTCTCGACGACTCTCAGCAACGCCACGCCACGCCAGAGTCGTGTCATTCTATGATTTATCTCTCAGCTGTGCCCAGTCGTGCGGCTATAGCGTTTCATTTTCACCGGAGAAGACACTGTAAAGAAACTCTGGATTCTAGTAGCGGACTTATGTGCGGCGATAAGTCGGAGGAGAGGTTCCAGTTGCCGAGAGTGGAATAGTATGTACAAACTTCTGGAGACCTCGTGTTTGTTCGGCGACCTTGCTGGACAAGTGAGAAATGGAATTGTAAAAACAGGGATGAGATGACAATTATGGACACCGCCTCTAGATCTGCTGCCACTGCCAGCGTTTATTTGTTTCCTCTTCTTGTTCTCTGGGATTCCCGTGTTGGCAGGTGTATATATAATACTGTACATATATGCCACGCTGTGACGTCTTCGCCCCTCTCCCGTGTCCCGCCTCCTCCTCCGGTCAGGATATAAGTACCGTCTGCCGCAACTGACCTGTGCCTTTACTGCATTTTCACTTCAACTGCTGCATTTACTTCCGCTACTGCAACTCGCAATGCACCCACACAGTGCACTCGACCCAAGCTTCCTCGGCTCCTTCAAGCGTCTCTTCTCCCACAAGGGCTGCTACCTGGACCTCGACATGACCCGTCGAATCGACTGGCACACACGTCGCTCATCCTCACCATCCAAACAACACCCATCCTTCCTCGACGAACCCGCAACTAAACCACCCACACACGACCTCACAATCCTCTGCACCGAACTCCGCTCTCTCCTCCCACCCGATTCAGACAAATCCCTATGGTCTTTACGAATTCGCTTACAACAACGCGTGGTAACCGTACGCGACGTCCTCATGCACCTCGATCGGTGGTTATACGCCGAGATACCCGCGACGTATTGGCCTGAATGTCCGAAAGAACAGGAACGAATTGAATGTGCGCATAGGTTACGCGTGAAACACCTTGCGAGGACACATGGAAGGTCCGCGCGTAGCGGAGCGAGGATGAGTATTAGTGGTGGTGGACGAGGTGCACCTCTAGGATTCATGCAAGTCGTTGAATGTGCGGAGTTGGACGAACATGGTCGGTTGGTGAAACGCGACAGAAAAATCGCCTCGAGGATCGATTGGTTAGGTGGGAAGTTCTTCTTTGCAGGGTTGAGTCCTGCGAATGGGAAAGAGGGAGGGGAGGTGGATTTCGTGTTGAATATGGAAGCTCCGTGGGCGAGGCGCAGACGCAGTTTGACGTGATGATCTCTGTGTGTTGTGGTCTTTAGCACTCGAATTTTTTTCGGTCCGCGCTTTTTCGTCCTCGTTTTCGTTTTCGTTCTTCCCTCTGGTACCTTTTGACGCTCGACCAAAATAATCATACGTACGTTCATCACATTCCGTTCAATTTCATTGATCCGTTTACTCACTAGACAAACCCACCAGGTATCCAGATGTAAAGCTCTCGTAATCGCACGTTATTTATTACCTCACGGACTTTCCGTATCATATATCAGACCACTGCGCTTTCTTCCTGTCTTGATAGAACCATACCACATGTTGTACCATACCAGCAATGTCATCATCGTTACCAGTAATATCATCATTATCGGCATTATCGTTTCATATCAGATATCACACGTCAGAGGTGTTCTGTTCTAAGGTGTTCGAGACCTCTCTGGAACAGGCATGCGTATATACATAATACTTGTATTCCTTTGTACACTAGAGATAGGAAGATTGTATCAAGGACCGATTGGTCCAGAAACACGTCCTTATTTTTGTCCCTCTGGTTTTAATTCTCAATAAAGGTGACTATACTTAGCTGTATTACAATCTTTGTCTAGTCCTGCTGATCATCCTTTTATATTGTATATCAATTTATCAACCATCCCCCTACCCAATTATTCTTTGAATTATACTATATGATATACTATACTAGTATTGTCATTATTATTAGTATTGTTATTTTGTACTGGATAATCATGTTGAAAGTGTTCTGTCCTAAGGAGGTCAAGACTACTCTAAAGTGTCTAAGTATACACATTACTTAGCGAAAATGTTAATAAAGGATAATGTTCTGTGACAGTATAAACATTCAGTCATTGTGTATACAAGCAGAAACAAAACATATGATTTTGTCTATATAGAGCTGTGCTTGAATATTAGGAATCTGATAAGTACAGTAATTTTGTACAATATTAAGTAACTGGACTATACATTAGGGCAGTGTTAATGGTTCAGATAACATTGTGTGCTTCTCAAAGATTATACTTTAGAATTTGTACCATTCTAAAGTTTAAAGATACTTACAATAGTTTCATTAAGTGATTCTAATGATTCTAGTGATAGAGAAGCCACCATATTATCCTGGTTTGGTCTGCAAGCAAGAATATTGCATAAGTTAAAGTAGTCTATAATAATGATTGATAGTAAAACATACATCAGAATCTGTACTTGTTTGGCTGAATGACAGAGAGTAAAAGGTTCTGCAGAATTCTGCTTGGTTACAGTACATGTACTGTATTGTACTTCTTTTGCCTTTGACTGGAGCTGCCTTGTTCCTCTTTTGTCTCCAGTAACTCTTGCCTTTCCAAGACTTGACCAGAAAAAGTCAGAGAAGGAGAATATATGTTGTTTTTTCCCCTCTAATCCCTGAGAACTGTCCAGAAGTAGTGATGTGTTCACTTTAGTGTGAGGGATCTCTGGAGAAGCAGACTGAAGTGCTGATGTGCTTCCTTTAACACAACTAGCATTATATCCTGCAATACCATCTGCAAAGGGCACTACTGGCTGCCTGTCCAGTACACTCTTTAGCCTCTGAGAAATAGCATCCATTGTGGGCCGTTGATTTGGGTCCCAGCTCCAGCAACCCACACAAACTTCCCAGAGTTGACCCCGGCATTCGCCTTTTTCAAGGTCCGTTGGTGGAGAAGGGAGAGTTTTCTGTACAATTGCAAGCATAACTTGCCCATCATGCTTGAATTGCGAATAAGGCAGTTCGCCCGTCAAAACTTCCTGATAAAGGTTGGGAATGAGGTTCTGTAATATCCACAAGATGAACGCCTACCAATAACGTCATTCCAAATGACCAGACGTCCGACTCATACGTCGCTACTCGTTGATGCTCTGAATCTAAGTTGAGGAGTTCATACGCCATCCATCTATATGTACCTCTAACATTCGCAACTATACTCGATTCGCCAACACTCAGAGCATTGCAGGACATATGAGCAGCCCCGAAATCACTAATAAGTGCCGTGCGGTTTGGAGAAACGAGAACATTTCCCTATTGGTTTATAAGTTACGCGAGCCAAATATTCGTTTATTATCGAACATACCGATTTGAAATCTGAGTGGACAATGTAATTTGCATGAAGATATGCAAGACCTTCTGCCATTCCAAGGATCTACCGTGTTATCATGAGCAATGCTAAAGGCTTATGAAAAGTTAAACCTACTTACTAGCCTTTTAAAACTCTCAATATTGCAATCCGGGTTACTCTTGATAAATTCAAGGATGTTGCCATTCCTCATCCATTCAGAAACCAGTGAAGGCAACAGGAGAGATTCACTTCCTGTCTCATCAAGAGTGTAACCTAATAATGGCAGAATATTGGGATGCTTTAGTCTGCTCCATGCCTTGATTTCACGCCTAAAAATCTATGAAAGAGATGAGGGTCCAGCTCAATACTATACGTCTACAGTGTCCTCACGTTTGTCACATCCAGCTGACTGTCTAGATAGGTCCTCAAACGTTTGACGGCAATGTCGATCGTGGTGCCATCCGGCTGGGTGTAACGGTCCTTGAAGACGTCACCGGTTCCACCTTGAGCAACGGGATACCTGGAGTCGTAATACACGGATCCAGTAAGATCGAGGTGTTTAAGCTTGTTGAGTACACGATTGATTTCATCCCGAGCGCTGGTTATATGATCTGAGGTCATGGTGGTTTGAATGTGTGAGGAACGACTATCGATTAGTAGTACGACAGAAACCAGAAATGAAGCTTATCGATTCGGGCCTACTTCGGAGTATTGATCAATTATCTTTATCTTGTAATAAGTAGACGTATTTGTTTTATGGCGTTTGAGACTGCTCTGAAACGTTTTAGTGTACAAGTTGTGTAGTAATAAGTTTGCTAAGATGTTATCCTAGACATATTAGAATGTCTTATACTACTCTAGGAGTGAATTGGCAGTTATCAATACATCTACTATTCTAGAAAGGTGTTAACATATATGGAATGACACATATAAGCAACGGACGTACCCGAGACATAGCTACATATTATATATACCTACTGAATCAACAGACAATGATGCTAAGGAGAGCGAGCCGAGTCCACTATCCCCCCTCTTTGTGTGATCCCTCTAAGCCTCTCACATAACCTCTTTCCCTTTTCTCAATAGGTTATGAGCCTTGAGCTCCCTGCCTATGCTTTATCTACACTCTACTACATCTATGCTCTATGCAGTTCTACACATTACATGCACACACACAGCATACTATGATGCAGAACTCGACTCACCTGTCTGAGTATCCCAAATGCAAATTGATACACTGCAAACGCACGATCTACTGTACTACATACGACCCAGACATTATATGATTGTCATCTTAGTGATTATGATCATTGGCCCAGTAATAACATAATCTATGCAGGCAATACTGAAACTACAATGAGTATCACTTACTGCAACATTTAATTACTAAAATATTCTATAATATTACAGAGATTATGTTATTATAAATAACTGATCATACTATGGACAAATGTTAGAAGGATTGAGAAAGCAAACACTACTCATCTGCTATTAATATTATAATAGTACAAATGATAGACACTGTCAACAAACACACATATGTTATAACATAAATCAAATAATAACATATATGATGATATTACAGTCAAACAATTAATGTAAGACATGTCTTGGGTACATGTCTTAGATATGTCAGACATGTCAGATATGAGATAAACAAGTTAGCAGATATCCATCTGATATCTAAGACATCTGATATCTACACACTAATACAGCTTATGAAAGTATACAACTATCTACAGACGAATTAATAATAATAATAATAATAATAAAGTTACAAAGTACATTACAGTAACTATGGTACAGGAACAAGTACACAATTATAGTCTTTAAACAAATAACAATACTTTACACCTATGATAGTGTAAACATATAATAACAATGTATAATAATGGCAAACGGTAGAATAATACCTCTACCATTACTACAACAATGTAACAGAACATATTTAATTGTACAGAATGTAGATATACTTTAACAAAGCATAAATAAACTTATATTAAAGCTACAAAGCTTATATACAAGTGAAGTACTATGCCAATATGGCTAGTACAACAAACAACAGAAAAACTATGATGGACACACTTATTATAATGATTACAAACGAAAACAATCATAATATAATAAGATTAAATAAATTAATAAAACGTTTAACACATTATCTTGGACAGTATAATATATAAAGAAAAGCAGACATAAGCATATCTATTACATCTTATCAGAGATATGAATAGATGCACAACTGATGTTGTAACTGCAAACACACAGAGAGATTTCTTAGTATGTCTGAAATATTACAGACATATTACAAACATCACATTAAAATTTATAAAACAAATGGCACAATGTTACAGTGTAATGTTTAAACAAAATGATGTATGTCAAACATTATGAGTTAACTTAAAACATACTGTTATATTATAACACATACTGACAAATGTATGAAAGTAAAATAACAAAGTACTAACACTACTTGTTAGATTACAAATACATGAAAGGAAATCAATGATGTACTTATGTACTTACACTACTTGTCAATTACTCAAAGAATAACCTTCTCAAATTGAAGGGGAGTAATTGAATAATATACATGCTAATGATGAACATTGAATTCTTAATACAGACATATTGACTATGTCACTAAGTGAAATCTGCAATGAATCTGACAAATCCGTCAAACACAAAATACTTTATTAAAGAATATAAAAGTTATACATTACATAACATTTTCAATGCTTATAAAAATTATTCAAACAGATAATTAATAAATTAATAATAATAAAGCCTAGAAATGGCACATATTCCTAAAGCATTCTTTGCAGCAAATGCACGAATGTTCACAACACAAAACTGCAGATGAACAAATGAATATTCATGATACAGAAACATTAATCTTATTACTGATCCTAAAAAACAATAAGTAATAGAAGTTACAGACAGATATAACAGATCACAAAGGTAAATCATTCAATGTGACACAAAATAACATTGATTAGAACAAATAATGGAAGTCAACACAACATGTGATTGAACTTCAACATTAAATAAATAATAATTCCACTATGAAACGAATGCTCATACTTGGCAAATAATATTAATATAATAATCTGATTAACTTAACAAAGTTTAATACAAAAATAAATAAAATACAAACAAATATCACATCATATAACGAAATAATTCATTAATCCAGACTATAGTTCATGGATAAAAGTGATGAATAATGAAAATAATACTTTGGAACATACATAAAACAATAAATAATATATCCATAGGATAATACAAATATAATTGCAATATAATTCACAACTACAACCAAACAATACACAGATAATAACTATATAAACAAGTATGGAGCACATACATATAATCAAATAAAACTATTAAATTGATTCTTGTACAAACAATTAATTTGCCCTCACTGTGCAATTAATACAAGTGTGAACAGTATTATAACATTATGAAATACATCAGATAGATACTAATAAGTATATCTATACAATGATTCAAATAAAATAAATAAAACTGATATATAAAACACTTTACCTAGCTAATCAATTAACAAATAAAACATTGAACAAATACTACAATTGTACATACCACTAGATTAACTAAAGTATGCTAGGAGACAATTATAGTAAACATAATCCAATATATCAATTATATGTGGATTGTGTTACAATACATCATTCTTTGCAAAAAGAAAAAGTAAAGAACAATAGCCATAATACTAATAAATATTCATGACATCACAATCACAACAATTCACAATAACAC